CATGTCACCTCTACTTTTATAGTTTTTTTATGTAATTTTTAAATATTTAATTTTTATTTTTTAATTACACATCATTTTTTATTTAAAATGATTTCAAAATAACTTTAGTCAAATATTGTAATGCGTAACGGCAAAGATAATTGTTGATATAGATGACTAAAATGACTTTATAGTAATTTATCCTCCACCTTAAAATCTTCTTTACATTTGATTTGATTAATTCTTACAAACTTTGATTGTGATTTGTATAAAAAATACTTGTATAAAAATTGATATGGAATTATAATATTTAGTTAAAGTTATTTTCGATTCAATTTATAAAAAAAATTGGGGTGAAATAAAAAAATACACATTTTAAAACTTTTACGAAACAAGAGTTCTTTGTAATATATAATTTTGATATACTTGTACCAATATTAGGTACTCCGTATAATATTATTGAGGTCTCTTTGATGTATAAAATTTTTATATACAACTATTAATGATCAAAGTGTCGTAATAATAACCTTGAAGAGTCAAATGTAAATTTAGGGGTGTATTCAATTCAGATTTTAAAAGATTTTGATATATTGTTTATAGTCCATTGATTTTGTGAAGTATATGGATTGTTTTAATTCTATATATAGTTAGATAGATTTCAATAGAATTTATAGAAGGATTTAAAAAGATTTTTTCGGATTGTTTGGCAGCGGGGAAATAGCGGCAGTACCCCCTGTGGTTTGCACAATAGGCACCAAAACCCCCTCTGTTTTCAAAACTTATTTCTAAAATCCTTGTGGTTTCAAAATGATGCACCCATGCCCCCTCTGATCTTTTTCCGGCCATTTTTCCGGCGAAGAAGGGGGGCATTGGTGCATATTTACTAAACCACAGGGGGGTATCAGTGCTGATTTTTATTTCTTGCTTATTTTTTGTTTTTTTTTCAATTTTTCCTTTATTTGTATCATTTATTAATAAAGGTTTTTTAAAAATTATTTTTATAATGTTCATAAAATTTAAAGTAATATTTGTTTGAAAAAATTAAAATATAATGTATATGTACGTCTCAAATCAACAATTTTTGTTTTTTCTGAAAAAAGTAAACTTTTTTTTTGAGAATTTCAAAAAAATGAGGAATAAAATAAAAAATTAATAAAAAATAAAAATGAATATCTTTTTCAAACATCTCAATTCTAAGGAATTTTTTAGCCTTGTCCATTTTTTTGTATCAGACTTTTTTTGTGTATTTTTATTTTTCATTTTATTTTTCCATATTTTTATTTGTTTATTCTAGGTTTTTCTTTTTGAACTTTCCAAATAAGTAGGTAACAAAAAGTGAAAATGTTTAATTTCAAATAGATGTAATATATGTTAATTTTTTAATTTTTATTTTTATTTCAAACACAAAAAATTTTAAAACATTACAAAAAATTGAAAATAAATTAGAAAAAAATCTAGGAAAAGGAAAAAAAGATAGGAAATATTTAAAAACAAAGGAAAACATAAATAATAAACGAAAAATAAAAATGAGCACGAATGCCCCCTATGGTTTAAAAATTATGCGCAAATGCCCCCTCTTTGCCGGAAAATGGCCGGAAAATGATCAGATGGGGTGTAGGTGCAACGTTTTGAAACCACGGAGACTTTAGAAGTAAGTTTTGAAAATAGAGGGGGCATTGGTGCCAATTTTCCAAACCACAGCCGTGAAAGGAAAGACAGAAAATAATTAAAGTTTGAAGAACAAAAAAAGAAGGTAAAAATTTCATTATTTTTTAAATTTAAAATAAATTAAAATCAAACTTCTCCCTGGTTAAAGTGGTAGGAAGCCCACTCCCCAGGATTAGTGGGAAAGTTCACCCAGGTTTGAGATGCAGTGAAGACGAAAACATTGGTTATTTGTGCGTTATTAGGTTGAGAATAATATAAATAGATATTACCTTTATAATAGAGTCAATAACATTCAAAAAATAAGTAAATTAACACCTGATCAATTAAATTTATAGAAACATTTTTTAAAACATATTTTCATTATTAATTTGATAAAATATAATATATTTTTAGATCTTTAATTTAATATAATTGAATATATAATTTACATGACTATATTACTTTATTAACAATATTCATGCATTTATAAGTTGTCTATAATTTTTAAAATTATTTGAAATCAGACATAAATATTAGAAAACTAAATTTGGATTGATTAATTTTTGAAAATATTAATATTAGTTTTAAAATCACTGAAAGGAAAAGAAAACAAAAATTAAAGTTGGAAGAGTCAATAGCATTCAAAATAAATAAATAAATGAATTAACACTTGGTCAATTAAATTTATAGAAACATTTTTTAAAATATATTTTAATTATTAATTTTATTAAGTATAATATATTTTGATATGATTGAATATATAATTTACATGACTACATTACTTTATTAAAATATTCATGCATCTATAAATCGTCTATAATTTTTAAAATTAATTGAAATCTGACAAAAATATTAGAAATACTAAATTTAGATTAATTAGTTTTTGAAAAGCTTAATATTAGTTTTATAAAATGACTGAAAGAAGGAAGACAAAAATTAAAGTTGGAAGAACTGAAAAAGGAAAGTAAATATTCAATTCTTTTTTATTTTCTTAGGAGCAATGCCACCTAAATGTTCCATTCTTTTAAAGAATTAATTCTCTTAATTTTTTATATAGGTGTCACAAAAACAATAAGACATTACACACCATGTATGCCTTTTTTGCCTTTAAATTTGTAAATATTAAACATTTTATATTGTTTATCCAGTAATAGCTTGTTATAATTTCCAAATTCTGTGTACTTTTTCATAAATAAACCATGTAATATTTAAGAATATAACAATTGATTTTTAACCAATAATATAACAATTAGTATTTAAAAATATTATTTTATCATAATTGTATTTATAATAATTAATATTATACCATAAATTATTCGATTGTAAAAAGTAATTAATAATTAACTTATTACACATAATACAAATGCATTATTTATCAATTTGTAAACTTTTAACATTTAATATGCATCCTATACATTTTTAATCTTCAAAAAAATATTTAAATATAAACTTATATTATGAGAAATAATATACTTTTGAATTTAAATTGTCTACCACTAAAATCAAACCCTAAAAATCAATATATTGGAACTATGAATTTAGATATAGTATTTTTTAATTTTAACACAATTATAGTCCAGTCATCACTAGTTTTATAAATAATTTAGTGTTACTTTTAAAATAATTCATATGTTTTAATTTTACATCAATATTGCAATAAATAGAATCAAAACTAACTTTTTTAAAACATATCATAAATAAAATGTATCTTATTTATTAATTTATTAATTGAAATTTTTTTTGGTGGGGGGATTGAAAGTTTTATTATAAGGCAAATTTTTCTTCAGTCCTACGGTCCATGCCTATTTTATAGACCTTGGTGTAATAATAGCATAAAAGAATTGGTTCTTCTTTTAAAAATATTTACTTGCTAAACCATGAAAAGTGCTAGAAGGTTCACATTTCACATGTGGACCTTAGGATCACATTTTACAAAAATGTTGATTTTACGTTTTCTATGTTTCAATTTAGGTTGTATATTATGTGTTAAAAAATAAGAAATTTCATAATAGGCGAAGAAAGTATTTATTTAGTAGGTGTCAATATTTAAATAAATATAATCAAACTAACTTCATTTCAAGGTATCATAAACAAATTCGCAATACTTCGTATATTATTAATTTATGAAGAGAATGTTTTGTTTATTATTTAAAACAAATTTCAATTTTAGTCCAGTCATGTATTGATTTTTAATTTTTTAATCTAGTTATTGAAATGTATTAGTTGTTTTAAATTTTACATTATTATTAAAATAAATAGAATCAAAACTAATTTCATTTTAAATATTATAAACTAATACTTGTATGAAAATTATTTAAATGTGAAAAAAATCATCTTATTTATTAATCAAATTGTTCTTATAAATGAAGCGAGTAAAAAATATTGTATTGTATTGTATTGGAAAGAGTATTTTCATAAAAAAGAATGTTTCTCTTTAACAATTAAATTTATTCAAAGATTTTATTCCAAAACACTAAATTCGCATTTTGTATACACTAAATTAAGCAGAAAATTACTCACGGGTGACACAGGTTTTGTCGAAATAACTCTCAGGTCCCTCTATTTTCAAGAAGACAACAGGAGGTCCTTACATTTTGTTGTAATGACTGGGAGGAGACATTCCACCCAATATTTCATCCATAAACGTAAATAAATGTATTTTTTCCTTTTTTATCTAAATATTTTAAGGTAATAAATCTTAGGTCGCTCCTTTTTTTATTTCTTTATTTTTCTTTTTTTTGTTACTCTTTTTTAAAGTGTTATTTTAGAATTTCTTCTATAAAATCGGATAAAAATTCAAAATTGTTTGTATTATATTAAAATAAATGAAATAAAATATTTTCTTAAAAAGAAAAAAATTGAGTAATGGCAAAATAGGAAAAAAAGGTAATGGAAAGATAGGGAAAAAAAATACTTTTATTAACATTTATGGATGAAATATTGGATGAAATATCACTTCCCAGTCATTACAACAAAATATAAAGACCTTAGTTGTCTTCTTGAAAATAGAGGAGCCTGAGAGTTATTTCGAAAAAACTCGCGTTACCCGTAAGTAATTTTCTGCTAAATTAAGTGACACATTAAGTGTCATAAAATATAAAATTTATTTATAGGTAAAGGAAATATTTTATTTAATAGGTGTCAATATTTAAATAAATACAATCAAAGGAATATCAAGTAAATGTATAATGAATAAATATAAAATTTATTTATGGGTGAGGAGTGTATTTTATTTATTATTCTAAATTATTTTGTAAATTTTATGATTTAACGAATCCGAGACAGGTATTAAAAATATCTGTAAAATAAAAATTTTAAAGTGGAACGAAATTATGTATCACTATCACTATTACATTCATGTATATAAAAATTGAAAAGAACCTATAAATGTATTAATTAAATCCAAATTTTTGGAAAACTTTAGGGCAAAAACCTAAAAGTACCTCAAATTTATTTTTATCGTAAACCTAAAAGTACCCATGCCTTAAGGGCAAAAACTCTCCTCTCAATTCGAGGTCTTACTTTGGCCTATGTTCTTTATTTGTTCTAATATATATATATATATATATATATATATATATATATATATATATATATATATATTAAACACATGCAAAAAGAATTCCACATATACCAAATTAAATTCAATGTATGTTTGGATACATATCATATCAGTATACACACTTACAAAATATAGAACGAAAATGTTATGTGGTAAAGCTTCCACGTGGTGTTAAAAATGCCAAGGACGTAAGCTCAGTCGTCGTCGATGGAAGCTCATGAATAATAATATCTCTCTCATTGGGGCGTTGACCTTGATATAATGCTGGTTGACACGGTACTATCCAAGTACGACTTGAATAGTTGGTGACCATGAACAGAATTTCTTGCATTGTTGGTCTCTTGTCCGCATCGTGTTGCACACTCAATAACCAAACGTGTATCCATGAGATGACTTCTTCAGCTTTATAAGATTGGCCTAGAGCTTGATCTACAATCTCTAAGGGCCCATAAAATCTATGATGATTTTAATTTGGATGCTCTATTATTCCATGTTCTTCTAGCTAGAACTATCTCCAAAATAACTCAAAACTAGCTATCTTATAAATTTGTATACATGAGATGACTTCTTCAGCTTAGAGATTGTAGATCAAGCTCTAGGCCAATCTTATAAAGCTGAAGAAGTCATCTCATGGATACACGTTGTGTTACTGAGTGTGCAACACGATACGGACAAGAGACCAACAATGCAAGAAATTTGTTCATGGTCACCAACTATTCAAGTCGTACTTGGGCAGTACCATGTCAACCAGCATTATATCAAGGTCAACGCCCCAATGAGAGAGATATTATTATTCATGAGCTTCCATCGGCGACGACTGAACTTACGTCCTTGGCATTTTTAACACCACGTGGAAGCTTTACCACATAACATTTTTGTTCTATATTTTGTAAGTGTGTGTTCTGATATGATATGTATCCAAACATACATTGAATTTAATTTGGTATGTGTGGAATTCTTTTTGCGTGTGTGCTTAATTTTTATATATACCCAACGTGTATCCATGCGATGACTTCTTCAGCTTTCAACTTCATTTATGAACTCTTCAACCCCTTGTTGGGAGGTTTCAGAGAGCCTTTTCACGTCCACTTCCTCCCCCGTAGGAAGCTTGCCCTAATGAAAGAAAGAAAGTTTAGGGTCTAATTTATAAAAGTAACATAATAATTGTAAAATAATAGGATAAATTTTGTAAAAATTGGCAACTAAATGCATGGGCTTCGTCATCATACCTTATATACACAACCAAATCCACCGCTCCCAATTTCACAAGCAAAATCATTGGTTATGACTTTAATTGTATCAAAATCATACCGGGAGGACATGCTAGAAATGCCAATCGGGTCTACAAAGAGGACATGCAAAGATGATAAGATTATTATAAGGAATAAAAGAAAATGCAATGCGATCAATAATATATATTTTCTAAAAATTAACCTGCTGCACTTAAAGGCTGCATCTCATATTCCCTTTTGGCGAGTAGTTTCAATCTCAAAAGACATAAGATTGCAATTGCAAGTATAATCCCACCAAGTGGGACTGTAGTTGCAACAATAGCCACCCTCAAGGAAGATTTTCTGTTGCTTCCTAGAAAAATCAGAAAATGATGTCGATACATGTTAGTAGCGATTTTCATTGTCCAAATTCAAACCAGACCAAAGCCAATAAGTACGTACTGTTGAGTGTGAAGCCATGAACCTTGGTGGAAGCCAACAAGAAATTGGCAGGAAACTACATGGAAGCTTCAAACTTCCCTAATCATTGTGCTCTCTTAAATAATCTCTATTTAAGAGATGTTAATGTGCTAATGATGGTGCAACAACAATGAAATAAAATCCTCCTAGTTGCCCCGTGTGGAGTAGGTTGCAGTTGGCTACCGGATCACCTTTAATTTTGTGTCGTTTTCTTTTGTTGCAGTTGATTCGTGATTGTGTGTTGTTATAAGAGCTTTGGTTCGTCAACACCGGAAATCCGATCAGCAGAAACTAATCAGAGAGGAGTGTCACCCTGTGCAGTAGCAGGAGCCTGTGGTTGGGCCGCTGCCGCCGGAGCACCACCATCCCCGTCGATCCACGGAGAGCTGCCGCACTTGAATCTGGAGAGCCGCAGCAGGGAGCGAGTCACGAGAGACTCGCCGCTGCCGCCTTCAATCGGGCAGCCCAGAATCGTTGCCGCCAGGTTGAGAAGTGTTCGTTAGAGGGACGACGATCAGATCGGGCAGGAGCAGCGGCAGTAGGAGACTCGCCGCTGCCGCCATCAGTCGCGCAGCCCAGGACCGCCGTCAGCCGCGCGCAGAGGAGCAGCCGCTGGTCCGTCCAGCCGCCGCCACTAGCCGCGCGAAGAGGTGCAGCTCTGGTCCGTCCAGCCGCCGCCGCTAGCCGCGCGCAGAGGAGATCTGCCGCCGCCGGGTTGAGGAGCCGCCGCGAAGCCGCGCCGCCGGCCAGATTGTGAGAGCCACTGCCGCGGATAACTTCCTAGGCCGCCGCGCATGATTCCAGCCGCCCTCATTGTCCAATTTTGAAGATAAGAAAAGGTTGGTGCAGAAGTGCCTTCCTTTTGTTTAGTTGGTGCTGTTTGGACCGTGATGTGTGGGAATGGGATTGTGGCATGATTTTTCTTTGGAAAATGGAGATAGTGGTGGGCCATTATAATTGATTGGTCTTGGACCATAACTGGTGGGTGAATTTTTTTGGGTGGTGTCAATTTTTTGTGTCCTACATATCTTTATCTGATAAAAATATCAAGATTTGAAATTAATTACACCGGTTATCTCATCTTGTCATTGGAGATAGCAGAAGATGGGAAGTTCCGAATTGAGAAGCTCGATGGTACAGATTTTAGTTGGTGGAGAATGCAAATTGAAGATTTGCTGGTTCAGAAAGATGGACGTGGTTTTAAGTGACAAGCCAGAAAAGATGTCAGATGCAAATTAGGCAGGTTTGGATCGGAAAACAATGTCTGTGATCCGACGCTCGTTGACCAAGAATGTTGCGTTCAACATTCTGAAGGAGAGACAGCGAAAGACATTATGGAAGCGTTGTCTAACATGTACGAGAAGTCATCTGCAGCAAACAAAGTGTTTCTGATTAGAGAATTGGTGAACACAAGAATGAAAAATGACACTTCAGTTACCGAGCATATCAACAAGTTGAATTCGATCTTAGCCAGACTTTTGTCAGTGGGCATTTAGTTTGATGATGAAGTTAAAGCTTTACTATTGCTATCGTCATTGCTTGACAGTTGGTCCGGAACTGTTACAGCCGTTACCAGTTCAGCGGGACCAAACAGATTCACATTTGAGAAGATTCGTGACCTCGTTCTTTGCGAAGATGTCAAAAGAAGGAGTTCTGGTGAATTTTAATTATGATTATGCTCATCAAGTATAAATTGACCATCCCCCTTCGTTAAGGAATTGAAGTAGAGCAAAATTTATTATATTCTAATATATATAGTCCAACATATATATTATGAGGTCGTGTTTTTCTCCTTATTACAATTGGATCACTTGGGAATAGCTTTAGAGATTAGTGTTGACGTTTTGAATAAAATTTTAATGGTGCAGATTATTTTGAAAACGCACACTGCCCGTTGACAACCTTTTCAAAATGCTAACGCTAATCTCTGACGTTATTCCCAAACAGATCCAAAATGCATCACAAGCTCTAAAATCACTGGTTACGTTTTGCATATGCATGTAACATCAGTGGTTATGTCTTTTCTTAATATGATAGTACTACCATTTTCAAGCTTTTAACAAAGGTAAGCTACCATTTTTCTTAATATGATAGTACTACCATTTTTCAAGCTTTGCATATGCATGTGCATGCACACTCATATAATTTGGATTCGTTTACCTAATAAGCAATGTATACTCTCCCCCCTCTTTCTCACTTTTAACCTTTAAGTGTTACCAATAATATATTTAAAAATTGACCCTATTGTGGGGGAGAATGATGAACTATGATATAAATTTGATTACTATCAATACGTTTATTATTCTAAAGCAAGCATAATTAAATTACTTTCTATGTCCCGTAAAACTTTTGTACTTTGAAAAAAGTGGGATTTAAGGAAAACGTAATTTTGACATAATTTTATAATATTGCCCTTATTTTATTGTTGAATAGGATGTGAAGATAGTTTATTAATTAAAACTATAAATAAATTTGATAATTCGGTTGGTTAATAATAAGGATAAAATAGTTTTTAATCGAAAATAGTAGTTAAGTGTCATTGGGATAGAAAAAGTGAATGTGGAAAGTTTTTTGGGACAAAAAAAGTAATTTTAAAATACTCCCGCTGTCCCTAAATATTTGTCACACTTGTATTCCCGAGGCAAAATATCAAGTTTTTTCAATTCATTTTATTTACATATTAGTATAGAGATTAAAAATAAAATTTACATATCAAAAAACTACATGAAAAGTTCTTCAAAATAAGAGGTGTCAAAAATATTTTATTTTCTCAAATTACCAATGAAAACGTAGAAATAAACAAAAGTTCCTGCGACAGCTGAAAAAGCAAATGTTGCAAATATTTTGGGACGGAGGGAGTATCAAATTCTTCTACTACTATAACCTCAACATTATTTTATTTTTAAGTAACTTTATTCTAGAGTAATATCTTGTAATATAAGAGTTGGAAAAAAACATTCCTTACCTTTAACCACAAAGGCAACAATAATTTCATCAGATTAATTTCTTTTTTGTTACATGTTTCACATTTTTCACACAATAGGATATGTTCAGCATGCTTTACATTTTTTTAAAGGAAGAACTAATTATGCATCAATTCTTTGACCACAAGTACTATTTTATACCGAGTAAATTTTAAAAGTAAAAGGACAATTTACTCACTTATGAAAGAACATAGAGACTATTTATGCATATTACTCTCTATTTATTTATTACGGAGTATCTATTTTCAAAACTTAGCATCAAAATACAGTACTATAGTTACTAGCATCAAACACTGAAAAATCTAAATTAGATAATCCAAACCAAGGCAGAGCATACTTTAGAGTTTAGAGTATTTTATTACTCTCCACGCCCCATTACTTGTTTCTTTCTTTTCTCTTAGGGCTGTCTCAAAGTTTTTGTTCCACATTCTTTTTCATGAAAAGATTTCATGATCCATACTATTTCTCATTTAAACAAAATTCAACCACAACTTATACTCCGTATGAGAAAAAATTATGGGGCGGAGGGAGTACATCTCTTTTACTACGTATATAAAATACGAGTAGCATAAATTGTAGTAATACTCTAGAAAATACACCTCCTAACCTGTTGGGTCCGTTCGAACCCAAAATACATTAGGCCATGAACAAACATTTCTCAACCCAAACCAGAGAGTACCAAACCTGACATGACCGACTTGTTTATCAGCTCTAACTTTGATGGTTCCACAGCTCTTGGGAAGGAAGAATGTGGGATTTTTAAAGCAAAGAGTGATGCATATTCACCAGTGAGGGTGATCATCTTGGGGAGTCTGTGGTGGCACAGGTTTCCAATCAGATGTCTCATCCCAATACATGTCATAGTATATGTGACCTGGTGTTTGGTTTTCCACACAACACCATATCCCCACGTATCGCTTCACTCGCTTCCCGAATCTTTCTTCCCTTACCTGATGAACCACACGTCAAGACCAGATTTTTCTAAATGTATATAAAAGTGAACACTTTTGGTGTGAATCACATCACTTTTACAGATTTTTTGTATAGCTTATCGGGCAATTGTTTTCACTATAAACTGTATAAGTTTTAGTGGGTCTCTGGTTATAAAAAAAAACAGAAGAGAGAGTTTACCTTATCAGAGAAACCTTGAAATGCATCCTTCATTGATGAGAACTGAATCACTTTGACATCCTTGAAGGAAGAGAATATTGTCTTAAACTGTTCAGAATGAACTCAGTTTTAGCTATATATATATATATATATATATATATATATATATATATATATATATATATATATATATATATATATATAACAACAACAACAACAACCCAGTTAAATCCCACAAGAGTAGGGTCTGGGGAGGGTGTGTGTACGCAGACCTTGCCCCTACTCGAAAGTAGAGAGGCTGTTTCCAAAGAGACCCCCGGCTCAACGTCGAAAGTTGCATCGCTTGACTAACTGCTACTTCATTAATTAAAGAAGCGCAAATAGTTTAGATATCCATTTTGATTTATTCCATCACACCCCAAAGCCAAAAACCGGTGAAATTTTGGCTCCATCGGAGATGATGGAAATTTTGATATATATATGATTTATTCCATCATATATATATATATATACATATATATATATATACATATATATATATATAATAACCCCAAAGTAGATTTAAATATATTTTAGAGTAAATTCCATAATTGGTCCTTTACAACAAGGAGGTTTCCATATTTAGTCCTCTATTATCAAATATTACCCCCGTAGTCCTTTTTTTAAAGGTGTCATTCCACAAATGGTCCTTTTTTTGATCTTCTACCATGTTGGTGTTAATTTAAAGCTAAAAGTATAATTTGACATCAACATTATGTCTAGTGACGTGTTCTGATATTGGTTAAGCGAATAACACAAAAATAATGACTATGATTGTGGGCTAGGATTCCGACGAAAGGCCACATTTGTAGACTATGGTTGTAGTAGAAAGCGACTATAATTCACAAACGACGCAAACGGAACACCTTTTGGAATTGTGTGTGACAAAAAAGATATATTATCATTGTGAAATTACACTTTTAGTCCTCAAATTAACACCAACATGATTGTAGATCAAAAAAAGGACTATTTGTGGAAAGATTCCCATAAAAGGACCACTGGGATAATATTTGATAATAGAGGACTAAATAAGGAAACCCCCCTGTTATAAAGGACCAATTATGGAATTTAAATGTGGGTTTGAATATAGAAGGGGAGAAGAAAAACAGAATGGTAAAAGAGCACACATTTGGCCAAAGAAATGTGGTAGGTTACGAGAACACCTTGCAGATAATAATACATTTACTTATACCATGCACAGAAGCTTTTAAAATTTGAAATTTATTGCTTAATTTTCACTAAAGCCCTATGTGATACATAACAGTGCATAGTTTTCTTTTTCTTGATAACATTAGAATACTTTTACTACTGCACACACTAATAGCATATTACTTGGAAAATATGCATATTACAATTTCCTATCCTAAAAAGTTTATCAGGTTGGCCAACAATAATACATGAAGCATTTATTTTAGGGCCGGTATCATTTTCAATTTTTATTTTTATTTTACAACTTTGAAAGGTATATGATGTAAGTTGCAAAATGCACTCAACTAAAACATACTAGTAGTAATGCTTACACTAATCGTGTTAATTTTGAAAACTACCAACAAAAAAGAACAGAAATTTCCTGGATTTCATGATCTTGTTTTAGGTTTTCAATAAAACAAAAAACCATAATGAGCGAACCCTTAATAATCAGTTTCTTTTTTGTTTCTGTTTTTTTTGGGTGGGGGTGCACAAATAACATTTTTATTCACCAGACAGATTGTATATCATTGATTAGCAGTAACTCAAAACAATAATCGTTAGCTAGGTTCTTTCATTACCGTTTCTTCACTACTATTCTTGGGGAATTTAAGAATTCCCGTTTCAGTAGTACTGTTGGAAAGTCGGCAGCCTTGCGACCCTTCTCGGCATAGTTGCACATCAAGCCATGACTCTTTCACCTTAAATAGGAAAATTTTTTAATAAACTGACACTAAGGTATGAGACCTTAGCTTTCACAAGCATAGCACAAAAACATTAATATGGCCGATAAATATACCTCTTGGGGCATTAATGGATTGTCAAATAAAGAATACTCTCTAAAACTGATACCAGGTCCAAATTCTTCCACTGGTTGTTCTTTCAACATAACATTAACCTGCAGTATAGCAAGCACCATGATTCTTCTGAATCATTCTGAATTCTCAAACATTTTAAGAGTTACAGAATGTCAAATGATTGTGAAACTTAGTAGTCATAATGCATACATCGACGTAAAAAATTTCAAAATTGCTACTTGGCAGAAAATAAAAAAGTTTGGAAAGTTTTGAGGATACTTTATGGATTTTTTCGGAATAAAAAAAGTAACCCAATGGAGAAAGAAAGGACCTCAGTCTGTAATTGAGTTCTACACCTTACACCAATGCATGCATAATAGCACTCTTTAGGGTTTGAAAAGAAAAATTAATGTTACAAAACTAAATGAGTCTTTCTATGAAGATCCTCTTTAGCATAATGCGATTTGCTCTCTCAGCCTCTCATTTTCTCTTTCAATCTTCATTTGTCTTCTTCATCAGATTTCTCCCCCCACCCCATTCCCATTTGGCCTTCTACTTTTTCTTCTTTCTTCGTCTTGTCTTCTTCTTCTTCTTCTTCTTCTTCTTCATACCTACCACAGCCAACTTCTTGTTTCTTCCTTGTCAAATAATCCCATCCATTTCCTTGGTCTCGGCTAGGCGCAGCAGCCAAAGGGAAGCGACAAAGAGCCCTATATTTCATGTCCAATTTCTCGGTTTGAAACCTATATTTGATTTTTTATATTTTTTATTGTCTTCCTGTCTTAATCTATTCATAGATTTCCTTTTTGATTTCTTTATGGCATAACTCTAGCACTATGTTTGGTTCAAGGAATTTTGAAGGAAAAAGAAAAGAAAATGGTTTTCTCTCATTTTCCTCACCAAAATGGGAGGAATTTGGTTTTTCCTCCACTTGGTACATTTTGCTTTCTCATTCTCTTTTCCTTCCACTTTTCCTTTATATCCAAACAAGAAAACTTGTTTTCCACTTCATTTTCTTTTCTTTTCTCTTTTGAATTCCTTGAACCAAACATAGTGTAGGTGAGATTTTTTTAGTGTGATGAGATTTGATTTCGAATTCGGATTTTGATTTTTCTGAACGGGGTCGGGATTGAGGTTGGAGATGAAGTAAAAGTTTGAGTTTGAGGGGGCACTGTGAATTTGAGGTTGGAGGGGACAGGGTGAACTTAAGGTTGGAGGGGGCAGAATGAATTTGAGGTTGAAGAAGAAAATAACGAGGTCAGCGGGTGGGCAAGGTTACAGAAGAAAAAGAATAGTAGGCTTAGTAATTAAAAGGGAATTTGGGGAAGTAAACTACTTTTACATCTTACATTAAACACCGTGCCAGGTCAATAGTAGAACAAAGGTACAAGACAAAGGGAGTATTGTTATTAAAGTTTGTTTGGTTTGATTAAAAATTTGTTTGATTTTTTTTATTTTATAAAAAAACAAGGAAGATACATGGGTTTGGAGTTAAATGGCTAGTGTATACATGGAGTGCAAGTTTAGCAACGGCAGGAGAAATACTACTCCCTCCGTCCGAAAATATTCTTCCCATTTGACTTTTCTTGGTCAAAGTTTGTAAACTTTGACTATGATATGTGGAAAAAATACATTATATTACGATATAACTTTAATATGAATATATTAATTTTGAAATATAGTTTTCAAATATCAAATTTTTATAAAATATATCAATGTATAAATAAAGATATTAGTGGTCAAAGTGCAATTTTGGAGACCGTAAAAAGTCAAAAGGGAAGAACATTTTCGGACGGAGGGAGTACTATTGAGGTGAAAGTGGGAGAAGATACTATATCACACGTGAAGAGTATCTTGGGTGCATCATTCAGGATAATGGAGAAATAAAGGATGATGTAAACCACAGGATTGTTGGTCGAAATGATGGAGTGCGTCTGGCTTTATATGAGACAAAAAAAGCCCCTTCAAAACTCAAGGAAAAGTTTTATCATACTGCGATTAGACCAGCCATATTGTAGCCATATTGTATGATACCTAGTGTTGGGCTGCAAAAGGTGAACATGAACACAAGGTTAGTGTGGCCGAAATGAAGATGATCTGGTGGATGGGCGGTCATAGGCACATGGATAGAATAAGGAATGAAGATATGATAGCAAGTGCCTATTGTTTAAAAGATAGTGGAAGTGCGTCTTAGGTGGTCTGGACATGCAGAGAGAAGACCTATAGAGCATTCAAAGAGTGGACCAAATGGAAAGTAGACATGTAGCAAGAGGAAGGGGTAGACCTAATGAAACTTGACACGAAGTGGTCAAGGGTGATCTACACGTGAATGATCTCGTTGCTGATATGATACATAGCACCGTTTGATCCATGTAGTTGACCCCACCTAGTGGAATAAGGCTTTGTTGTTATAAAAAAACATACTTTACTTCAAGCAATTTGACTTAGTAGCACTTCAAAACACATCCATGTACCTCAAATACATGATCCAGAGGACAAACAAAGGGCTGTCTTGTCATGGAGCCCAACAAAACACCAGGGTGTCCAAACCATAACCTATCTAACCTACACCATAGTGGAGGCATCACCTGCAATCACAACAAATGACATAAATAATCAAGATATTACCGGGTTGGAGCATATCCATGTATGCAAAAAAAATCAAACTGAAAGATTCATTAAAAACATGAATGGCAAAAACAGGCACTGTAGGCAAGATTAAGAAGCAACACAAACAGTCTAATGATTGTGATGTGTGTGTTTTGTGTGTATGAGAGAGAGAGAGAGAATTCAGAACCAGAGCCCTAGAAAAGAAAATGTTTGCATTGGGTTTTTATTATGCTTGATAGTGTTGGTGTTTAGAACCACTTCATTGATGATAATATCGTCTCAAGGGGCTAAAGTTAAAATTGTACCACTTTCATGGTTAGTGTTACTACCATAGTGCCATACATATAAGAATGAAAATTTTAAAATGTTCTCAGTCCTCACCAATGTGCGATTTAACAGTGAAGCAACGGCAAGTGCAGTCCTTATTTGTTTGATCTGAAATTAACAATTAAATGATAATTAACGTGATTTGATTAGGGGAATCGCAATTTAAAATATAAGGCTGGATGATCGTAGAAATAACCTGGTAATTAACAAGAAAGAAGTGTGATCCAATATTGTTTTCTCCATCTAGTAACAAGCTTTTGGGTATAGATGGTTTAAATGACAAAAACCCGCCTGGAAAAATCTTAAATGTTAAATCATGACATTGAGCAACAAGAGTTCTGTTTCACGAAGCATGCGATAAAAAAGTTATGCTCGTCTATGGGCACAACAAAGGTCCACAACATATAATTGCATTTTCACTTACCCATGTTAGCATTTGATTAATACCCTTGACTAATCTTTTCAAGACAACGTCTTTCTGCTGCTCTACTACTTCGTACTAGAGCTCTCAAGATTACACACTAAAACCTATCTTCTAAAAAACCTTGAATTTTTATAAGCCCTAATTTAAAAAACGGAGAAGTTATAGTTTGCTACATTTCAAAGAATATTGGTTACAGAATAAACGAGAATACATCAAATACCCAAGGAACAAGAAATATAATATGACAGCAGCAAACCTGGTGGGTCGTAGTATTCTATTGGATCGAGGAAAACCTTAGCTTCACGCAATCGATGGCGCTTCCCTTCAGTCCCTCCATATTGGAATGTTGTATGTACAGCGTAAGGCTCTAGTTTGAGTTGTTGATACATCGACTACCAAATCAATGAACCGCGAATAACAAAGCATTATGATACATATTTGGAATTGACTGTTTACAAATTAATAGAGTACAAAATTTAAACACTATGCACCATAACCTATACAGGTATGAATCAAGAAAGATAAGTATGTTATTACATAAGGGAAAAGTACCTGGACAAAATAAGTGTGCCCACTGCAGAAAATACTTGCGGGTAGAAGTCCCAGCTTGAGATTTCCATCATAAGCATAGACAAGTCCACTGTCATCATCAACAGATGGGCCTAACTGTCTGCGGATGATCTCATTGAAACCATTCTGATCCCATATTTTATCATCATTTAGAAGCATTTCTTTCCACTCTTTCACCAACTTTTTTGAGGAATCTGTTGGCCTCCAGTGAAATATTCCAATATTGTAAGCAGCACCAACTGCATAATATACACTCTCATAGTGAAATAGCCAGTTAAACTATAGTTGCGTTCCAAGGACACCCAACTAAAGGCAACTAATTACTGGAAGCCATAGACTTGATTTTGGCTTGTATGGCATCTAAAACACCAGCTAGGGCAATACCAGAGGGGTTTTCTAAAAATAGTGGAGATCAGACTGACTAGTTCCCAAATTGAAGACATATTAGAAGCATCACATGGTTTCCAAACAAGCTTTACCTAGCTGCCAGTTGTCCAAACTGTCATCTGTAACTGTTGGTGCAACTTGATCAGTGGATGTCAAGATGTCGGCTTCAGGGAAACGTGCAATGTATGGAAGAGGGTTCTGTTTGTCGCACATACCATGTAATGGAAGGGATGTGATGCACATTAACAGAGTAATAAATATTGAGAAGACAGAAAAACTAAACCAAGAATGTGTATATCCATCTACTGGATATACACAAGAGTGGTGTGAATAAATGTATTACAGCACAATGAGAGTAAAGTAGTAAACCCATAACTATAAATACAGGTAACCAGTGGGCATGTTCAGTTCTCCTACACGGTACTCTGTATGCTAGTCCATTATTACAGCTAATACTCTACTTGCATTACTATTTTCTATTTCACAATTGAGAATAAATGAAATCACTTCAAATGTTCTTCTACTGATCTGGGTCACATAATGCTGGATCAGGTTAATAGTTCCAATGAAGAAGTGGCTATTGGCTGATCTGTAGATGCCATTCACATCAAAAGCAGAACTAAAAACTAATAAAATAATAAATGGTAATTCCAAAGCACAAACTTTGAAAAATGTGGATCACCAAAAGAATGTGAGAGGTATATATTAAGATCATAAGCTGAGACATAAATATGACTTGGCAAATGCTGAGGTAAAGGATTACCTTTAACCACACCATGTCAGTATCACACATTAGGAGCTCAAAACCGAAAGGTAGGACAGAATCTATAAGAAGAACTTTTTCCCTTCCCATCTTGTGAAATGTTGGTGATCCCCATCCAACATCTACTGTACTCATGTGGCTACCCATGTCAAAAACAGGTATACCTTTCCAGTAAAGAGCCTCCAATAATTTGGTGTCCATCGCACCTAGAAAGTGTATATTTGTCAGTACTTTGCATCTCATTAGCATTTTAAATAAGAATATGCCAAAAACAAATTCATTGCAATCAAGAAGATGAATAACAGAATAATAGTTACCAACTAGTAGGTTATCAACATTCATATCTGTCAAGTGCCTGACCCATGTCAATATGAAATCCATGAATGCATAGTTACCAAAGGTGACAACTATTACGTTTTCCCTCACTCTTTCCTGAAACAATTCTTTTGTCAATCGGAAAGTATCTAGGGATGGCATCCTTGAACCAGGAGGGGGGGCCTTCCATATTGGTTTTAGTGACTTTCTTTGCACCCGAGAATTTGATGCTTGAGGTAGACCAGCTCCCACTGCTTGAGACTCATTAAGTTTTGGAATTGGAAATGCAGTCGCTGCATCTGAAATAAAATGTACCATGGGACAGCTAACAAATCAGAGTTACATGAAAATGAAAAGCCAACCCCACTGGAAAGAATGATTTCAAATATGAAGTCATAAAGAATGATCTTAAAGAAAAAATTGCAAAAAGATCCTCACAAGTTGCAATAAATTTACAACTTTTTTAAATTTAATCAATATTACTGCAACCGACATAAGTGGGGCGAGAGAGGTAGACACAGCAGTTTTGATACTGTTAAAATATGAAAAAGGGTCAATAATTTTATCTAATTAACAGTTCTGGATTAAATCTTTTATTTCTTTATCAACCACTCAACATGCTCCTATGTTGATCCACTAAAGTTGATGGGTCAACTGTCAAGTCACTCCACTCAGAGTCTCAAACATTAAGATGAGATAGAACATCCTTTGCTAACATCACCAGCTGCAAATTCCTTGAACTCAACTTGGAACTTAGATGACACCGCATCAAAGCAAGGGACCTAGTGTACCAAATGTCCAAATGTACGTAATACTAGTCCCTATGGCTGTACCCGAAAAAGTACAATCTGAATTGAGCTCTCTCCATGATTGTTCGTTAATAATTTTAACTGTTTGAGATCATTTATTTACTAAATGAGCAAGCATCAATAGAGTCAAGCCGAACCTAGTTTAAATGTTACATGTTCATGTCTTGGTAATGAACAAGCTTGTTTAACTTTGGCGAGCTTGTTTGTGGACAATAAACAATGTACATGTCCTAAACAAGTTTTCAATTTAACAAACTAATAACAACAACGACAAAAAACCAGTAAAATCCCACAAGGTGGGGTCTGGGGAACAAACTAACCCCAAATTCACATTATTGAAACAATAAAACCACATTCCACAAATGATAAATCATGATTAAATATATTGATTAATAATAGCCTTAGGCACGCTTTAACCGAGTTTGTTCAAGAGCAACCCTAAGGAACACGGACTGAGGTGTTCATGAGCTTTTATCAAATTCAAGCTCTGTTCATTTAGTACTAGAGCCCTTACCTAAGTCTCATTTCTGTTTGTTTGTTTAACCAAATGAACATGAACGGACACTTAAATAAGCCCAAACATGACCTGTTCGTGGAATTCGTTGATCATTTACACCCCTAAGTCTACTCTCAAGCAAGGCAAGATATATTGCATTGGTATGATTATCACTACCAAATATGAGAAAAACGAGTATGTTGATAAGGATTTGAACTATCCCATTCGCCCCTTCTTGCCAGAAAAATCAGAACTTTAAGAACTAAATAGCATTCAATTAAATCATGAACCCAAACTATTAATTGTTCTCTCCCTACTCTACACCTAATATGCATACAGTTCTAGTTCCAAGTATCTTTTTATTAACTTGATGCAGTATAACTAGCTAGTATATGCGTAAAACTGATCATATTTTAACCTATTCTTGCTCTCTATTAAATATTCAGGTTCTACTGTAATGTAACAAAACTTTGAAAAATACATTCGGAAGATCCGAAAAATCCAACCCCTATATCTTCTGGTAAAATAGAACTTGAAGTGTGTGAGCATGAGCGTGGATTGCATATGATGCAATCCAAACACTGTTGTACACACAAATATACACAGAGAGTGGCGAACTGAGAGAGAGTGTGCGTGCCTGATGAAGAGGACGGAGAAATGGAAGCGATGGAAAAGGCGGATATAGGCGGAGAGGAGGTGGCAGAAGAGGAATAGACGGCGGAGAAAACATAGAAAGCCGAGAAGAGTACGCCAACAGCGACGGTGGCGTAGATCGTCAGGAACAAAGGCCTGGAATTAGCCATCTCCAGAACCATTTTCCTCCACCGAACACAAGCTAATCGGCCTTAAGCCTTCATTGCCATGGCGAAACCTTGGTTAGCGAATAGAATCCAGAGCTAGGAGGCGGGAAGTTGGTGGATTGACGGGGATGTGTGACGGAGCAGCGGCAGGCCGGCTACACATCAAGTCAATCATATCCACAGAGTTATTTGAATCTTGCAAAATTTAAATTTAAAAAAAAAAAAGACCAAAAGTTATTATATGGTTGAAATTTATTTTGATACAGATAATTTTATGAGCAATGCTACATTCACAAATAGAAAGATCACAAACTTCACAAATTTATTATTTATGGTTTAAATTTTCATTTTAAAATTAATTTAGACCATTTAAAATTTTTTATTGAAGTCACAAATGATAAGTTTGTGAAATTTGTGACCTTTTTGTTTGTGAATCTAGCATTTCTCTAATTTTATACTCCGTATAAATTATTACTCCTTTCGATCTTATATGTTGAATTTCACAATACTTTTGACATTTTGTTTAGACATTGTTTGTCATGATAATTCATATTTAATACGGAGTATAAGAATTGAAGATTGTATATTTATATATAAATTATATTTTAGCCTTAATCACATTTTCTGTAATTTCCTTTCACTTTTCTCTTCATTTTAAATTCATCTAAGCTATACCAAAAACAAATTCATTTAAACAATCATTATTTTCTTTCTTTTCTTTTCTCTATTTGCTTTCTCCCCATTTTTTTCTTTTCATTTTCTTCTATTATCCAAAGAAAGTCTAATATTCCATCATCTCTAAAAGATTGCCATATTTTAATTTCTTTGTCAAAATATGACATCACGTGATCATAAATTAAATATAGTTTAAAATAATTAAATATTATAAAAAGTAATATTTAATTAACTACAAATAAGTAAACTATTCGATACAGAGTGGTCCAATAAACTATTCGATACAGAGTGGACCAAATTCTTCTATACTAGAACAAACTTAACTACAAATTCATACATCTCCTCATGTCATTTACAAATTCAAGCTAATTTTTTAATATCTAACTTGCAATTAAAGAGTGGTCTTTCTTTATGCAGCAACAATTCGATACATATCAATCCGCTTTTGTCAAAGACTCTGCGAACTGCAAAATACAAATTCTAGAATTGAAATTCTATGATTTTCCAAACATTTGAAATTTGAAATTGTGATATTTCAAATATTAATATTGAAACATAAGATTTAAAATAAATTCTAGTTTTTAAACATTACGTTACTGAATTCTATGAGTTCCTAAACAAGCATTTGGAATCAAAATTAGAATTTAGTTTATAAATTTTAATTTCTTGATTCGAAAATCTAAATTTCAATTCAATTCCGTGTTCCCAAACTCAACCAAAGTGAATTTGCATATTAATAGGGATTTTATCAATTTTATTTAATTTTTGCACATTACTAATTTTTTTGCTGTTAAAGTTTGTGCATATTATTTTAAATTGATTTTAAATTTATTTTTTTAATTAAATTTAAAACTACTTCAAATGTGTGATGGGCCGGTCCGAGGCCTGCGGTTATTTAAAAGGGCGGGGCTAGAACTTCAATTATTACGCCTATCGTACAGCCAACCAGACTTGGGCCTAAAATTACAATATACGGAGTACATAGTAGTGTCCAGTCAGGCTCCATATGAAATTTGGCTATATTTGTACGGAGTACTATTTATTGCATCATCCTAACCCATATTAATATTTTCATTTACTATTCTAGATAATACACGACCATGGTCTGGTTCCGTTCAACTTATTTTTTCTGCTTTTTTCTTATTCTTATTAAAATCAGATCAGATCTTACTAGATTAGATCGAATCAGATCAGATCAGATCAAATAATATCAGATCCAATCAAATCAGACCAGATCAGATCAAATCATATCCAATCAAGAATTATTATTATTATTATTATTATTATTATTATTATTATTATTATTCTTAAAAATGAAAAAGAATAAACTTTAGAAACAAGTTAAATAGAAAACTGAAAAAAGTAATCCTTAATTATTAGACGTTGGAAAAAATATTTTTAAAATACATTGACAATGTCAGTCTAACTCTACTTTTAAACTACATTTTTATTGCCACTTGTAAATTGAGTCTCTGAAGTTTTGATCTTTATTAGATCGAGTTAATCAACTTTGATCATGACTTAAATAAAACTAACATTTGATATTCATATACGGAATATATTTTAGTGTAATTGAAATAACTATTATATCTATGGTGTTATAATAATCATAAAAATTCGTAGTACAAAGCACACGTTGATATTTTATAAGGATGAGATATTTTAATAAAAATACTATCTATTCTCTATATTGATTATCTAAATTTAATTACTTTTTAATGTATATATGAATTAAATATTTATTCTAATGTATATATTGTAGGACCTCAAACGCTACCAACTCTTATAGTGCATTCAGCACACAAGCGCCCACGACATTCGATTGTGACTTGGCCCACATAGCCTCCGCCACGGGATAATTGCTGCACACATGGCCAACAATCTCCCCCTCAGCAATTGCTCCTGCTGGGAATCGAACTCGTGACCTTGGCTCTGATACCACTTGTAGGACCTCAGGCGCTACCAACTCTTATAGTGCATTCAGCACACAAGCGCCCACGACATTCGATTGTGACTAGGCTCACATAGCCTCCGCCACGTGATAATTACTGCACACATGGCCAACATATATATGAACTAATTATTAAAATATTAAATCAATATTCTTATTTCATAAAATAATAATCATAAAATAAAAATATTATTACATTATAATATGAATTATAATATGAATGATTATTCTAATATATGAATTAACTAATTTTATTTCATTAAAAAATAATCATAAAATATAATGATTATGTTATAATATGAATTATCATTACAATTTTCAAACGTTGTTATAAAGTCGAATCAAATTATTGATTTGAATTTTAAATCAAATCATAATTAATCAAATCAGATCAGACCAGATCAGATCCAATTAGATCAGATTAGATCCAATCAGATCAGATCCAGTCAAATTAGATCAGATCAGATCATATCAGAATTTCAAAAATCAGATAAGATCAGAAAAAATAAGTTGAACGAAATGGAGCCCAGAGCATTTATTGATTATAAAATAAAATAACACATTTAAGTTATTTTTTAGTCTGGGCTCATAAATTTTTTGAGTCATTTTTAAATATATACTTTGATCCCTTAATTTCATAAAAAACAACTCCATATAAATTTTTTGTTCATCTCTTAAAACAGTTTTCACTATTACTTTTTGCCCGTCTCAAGAAAATTTCAATTTACCTTGGGTCATCATATGATATTGAAACTTAATTTCACTTGAATCGGGTCATCTTATATATTTGTCCCCTTTGGTTCTGCATAAATTTAGATATAGTTTGTAATTCTGTACTAATTTATAAATAAAATAATATCAAAATAAATAGAATTTCACATATTTTTTCATATGAAGAATACTCTCTTCATCTTAAAAAGAATGTCAAAATTATTATTTCAGTCTCTTTATAAATTTTATTAGTTTTTATTTCTCTACGATTTTATAAATAAAATTATTTTAAAAAAATACTCCGTAATATTTTACACATCATTCTAAATGTTGCTTACATTCAAGAACGGGTGGAATATTATTTAGGGTGCTAGTTAGCCACTTAGCCATATTTAGTACGTAGTCCGTGTACGGATCCTGCCGGTCCATGCAAGCGCTGCTGACTAAGATCAGTCATCCTTCGCCAATTTATTGTTGTTGGTGAGACTATGTGCTACTCCCATGATGAGTGCCTATTTCCATTCACTTCCAACTCAGCATCATATCAATTGTTTATCTCCATTATCGGGTGAAAATCTAATTCCGTCTCCATCATTTTTAAACTTTTTGTTTCTAAATAATACATTTAAAATATTTTATTTAATTTTTTATATTTATATTAAAATTTAAATTTTTAAAAACAAAAGTTGAAAATAGAAACTCAAAAACTAAAATTAATTTAAAATAAACTAGTAAAAAATAAAAAAATTTGCCAGTCGTGGCGTTCGACGTGCAAACACTGTCCATGCACGCCAGTTCTGATCGGGGGTGGTGTTTCCCGTCACGACCGGCTAACACGTATGTGACGCCTACGCCACACCCCACGGTAACCGTGTTTAACATTGTTCGCATCTCCGTCTTTGACAAAATTTTTGCACATCTTATTGACTTGGCTCGACTTTTTTAGCATTAAAATATAGATATTATATTCCTTTTACTTCCTCCAATCTATGAAACTTAAAAGATTAACTGCTCTAAAAATAGATAATTTTGATATTATTTTTTAATCATGACTCATTTATTCTAAATACCATATTCTATCAACAACTAAATTATAAAGAAAAATTTGCACTAAATAAGACTAAAATATAAGTTATTTTTCAGTGTAGGATTTAAACTTTTTTATTTCCTAAATAGGACTAAATAATGTCTAGTGAGAGGAAAAATGTCCAGTGATGGTGGACATTTACTTGAATAATGACTAATGGATAATGACCAATGGTCCTACATTCGGAAATAAAAACATCAGGTTCCTATATTGAGAAAGTCATTGTGTTTTAATTCTATTTAGGTAAATTACCCAATTATAAAATACTTTGTAATGGAGAATATCAAAAATCAACATTTTTAGGATGCGTATTATTCTGTCATTGAAAAGTTTAATGAGAGGAAAGAACTAAAATGGAGGGAAAGTTCAAGTACTGCATAGTAAATAATTTTACATTCAGGTTTATGATGATAATAATTATCAAAAAATCAAATCAACTATCATGTCAAGAAATTAAATTAATATATTCTAACCAAAAATATTTTTTTATATTCTAACAAATCAATCTATATATCTAGGATACCTTATCTGATTTTAATATAATAAGAAATTTTCGTATGTGTTCGTTGAATGGTTGACTTTTAGATGTTGAACTTTCAAACTTTAAATAGAGTCAAGTTTCTAAACTCAAAAAAAAAAAAAAAAATAGAGTCAAGTTTTATTCGTCAACCATAAAAATCAATAAATTTAATTATTTATTCGAACAAAACAATCTAACGACCCTAAAATAAAAAAAACACGTCAAAGCCCATACAGAAATAAATGTTCAATCCGTTCTTAAATATGAGTCGCATTTATATAAACTTAAATGATGGTGTGCTAAAGAAATCAAATCATGGTTTTTAAAATTAATACTACGGAGTATTATATTCCAATTTTTTTAGCTAAATGGACTAAAATTAAGAAGGAATTAGCATGCATAATTTTTTTTTTAAAAAAAAAAATCACAATTACCGTAATTCATATAAAAATTTATACGAGTACATTATGGGTACGTTTGGAAAGAAAGCAAATAGAGTGAAAAAAAGAAGAAAGAGAAATAGTATTAGTTATATATTTCTTTGTTTAGATGGAGAACTGAAAAGGAAACAAGCAAGTTAAACCTCACATAGAAAATATTAATATTTTACAACTTGGAACTTATTAAACATAACAATTTTAATTATAAATTAGTTATCCTAAGAAAAATTGGTGCTAAGAGCATGAATAATAGAAAGTAAAAATAAAATGTCACACGATGACGTAGAGTATTTTCACTAATCAAAATCAGTCGAGTCAGGTGTGACAAATGAGTGGAGTAACATGCCTTACAATGCCAAGCCATCAATATTTTTGTTAATTAGTCTTTACACATTTTAATGTATTTTAATTATTAAAAAAATATTTTACTTATCTCTTTTTTATAAAAATAGATGTTGTCATTTTTAAAAATAAACTTCTTTTTTGTACCAAAAAAAACTGGAACGCGCATGGAATATAATGCTTGGCGCGGTTGGCGGGGTGGAATGGTGTTGCCACTTCATGCCAAGGAGAGATCATGGCAGCTGATGTGGGCATGTGGCACAACGAGTTGAGGAAATAGTTGCCGCTCTTGAAGCTCTAAATAAGAAAAAAATTAAAAGGACGTGCCCAAAATTATTCTTCAATTTTCTTCTTAAAAGAATTCCATAAACACAATATTTTTCTTTAATTTCGTGAAATCTATTACTCGTGTGCACCATTTGTGTTATATACTGTTTCTATACCCAATTTTTCACGGTCTCTAATTATTTTAAGGGGCTGTTTGGCAACTTCTGAATGGGTAAGTGCTGAACTAGTAAGAGGTCTGAACCATTAAGTGCTGAACCAGTAAGAGGTCTGAACCATTAAGAGCTAGTATATTGCTTAACTATTCAGAGGCAAATGTCTGATCAATTCAGATAAGAGGTCTTAACCATTCAGACTCTGTATAATACTTAACCATTCAGAGGCAAATCTCTTAACCATTCAGACATCTGAACCATTAAGAGGNAGTAAGAGGTCTGAACCATTAAGTGCTGAACCAGTAAGAGGTCTGAACCATTAAGAGCTAGTATATTGCTTAACTATTCAGAGGCAAATGTCTGATCAATTCAGATAAGAGGTCTTAACCATTCAGACTCTGTATAATACTTAACCATTCAGAGGCAAATCTCTTAACCATTCAGACATCTGAACCATTAAGAGGTTGAAACAAACAGTCTGAACCATTAAGTGCTGAACCATTCAGACATCTGAACCATTAAGAGGCTGAAACAAACAGCTCCTAAGTTAGTTTAAAAAGCCACACTCATTTATAGACTTTATTATATAAGTATCATAAAAAGTTGGATCTTTAACAAATACGATTAAAAAAAAACTTACTCCGTACTTCCTCCGTCCCAAATTATAATGCATGTTCACTATTCACAAGATCAAATTTCATTCACTTTCTTTCTCTATTTTCGTTAGCAGTTTGATAAAATAAAATATTATTGTCACTACTAGTTTTGTAGATCTTTTGATGTAATTTTTTAATATGTAATTTTTATTTTTTAATTCTATACCATTTGTCATATAAAATGATTTGAAAATAATTTCAGTCAAACATCGTAAACCGAAACAGACGTTATAAAATGGGACGGAGGTAGTACTTGTCAGCACATAAAAAATGTGAGAAAAATTATACGGAGTATTTCAATATAGACCACGGAAGCACAACTCTACTCGTAATTTATTTGAGAAAATTTAGTGAAAAAGAACTTGGTCAATCACAAATTTATTTATTTTGATACAGTTATGGGAGTATTTATTTTCAAGATAAAACATCTCAATTGGACGACCAATTCATTCACCAACTCATTTTGTGCGACTTTTCTTACCATATATGGACTGCTATTTTTACTTGAGTATATTAGACTTTAGACACCAACGACCGGTTCTGTTCCATTCAAATTTTATATTTATTTGTCCACTTTTAATTAGATGACGTGTTTTCAATTTTTGACCTATGATTAGATAAAATATGTATTGTATATTAATTAGATAAAATAATATTTTGAAAAATTTGATATAGTAAATCTAATAAAATTATTTTTGTATCAATATTTAATACTCCATATCATTTTTATTTAATTTGAGGTCAAAATTTACCAATTTTAACCGAAAAATGTTAAAGAAGACAAATCTTCAGAGACGAATGAAGTAGAAAGAATTGGAAGAGTTTGAAAAACATAGAAGAATTAGAAAATATTAGAAGAATAAAGTGTAAAAACCATCAGTTAAATAATTATCCAAATACATACGGAGTATGTAATAAGACTAATTTTGGATTAAAAAAATCATCTTTATTCAAGATTTCGAGTTTGAAATTGTATGTTATTCATTGAAAATAATATTATTGTATGTTCATCATATGTAAATAATCTTTTAAAGTTTTTTTTAAAGAAACTCGAAAGGATTAAAAAGGCAGGAAGGATTTGAAATCAAAATGGAAGTTAATTAACTTTTCACCTTAATTTAACATATATTCACCTTAATTAATCAAAATAATTCACATTTTTACCCAATCACTTTTTTCTCACGCCTTCCTTTCAAGTCTTATGTCACATATTTTCCTACTCATGTTCATTTGCTTACGAAGCGCCCGTGTAGCACCCATTCAAGCCCCCATTAAGCCGCCCACCTTTACACATGGTCTAAGGTTCAGATCACCAATAATTCACATTTAATCAAACACATCAAAACATTATCTGTTTTATACTCCGTACATTACACATTGATAATGTCAATTTTGATGTATCTACATGGTTAAAATATAATTTTATTTTTGTAAAAGCTTATTTACCATTAAATTGTTCTGGTTTATTATTCACAAGCTCCAAGTATACACTTACACGAAAGCTCACGTACAACCTAATAAATATGCCCGCCTATTTATAGGAAACATCTGTTAACACCCTCCTTCAAGTTAGCACATGGATGTCATCCCACTTGAACCATAAAAAATAAGTAAAAGATTTAGACAACACTTTTGTAAACAAATCTGAACTGCAAGATGGAGCAGTGTGAGAACACAATGAGTGAAAATTCATGACATTAGAAATATTCACAAACGATATGACAGTCAATATCAATATGCTTCAAAAATTCATTGAACCGTGTATATTTGCAGCAATAATGTGTTGGCCATATAGTAATATTTGGCTTCATCGAGTGAATAAGAAAAGTTGTCTATAGCTGTAATAGTAATTGATAATAATGATTCAAATGATAATAATCATTATTATTCACTAATAATAATTAATAATAATGATAATAACAATTAAAAATATTATTTATTTATAAATACAATAATAATTGTTACTGGTATTTAATAATAAAAATAATAGATTTTAAAATTAATTATAATTATGATTACTAATGATGATAATCATCATTAATGATAACATGTAATGATAATAATGATAATTTACTATAATAATATTAAGTATAATTATTGAAATAATAAGGATAATAATAATAATATTAATTAATAATTATGATTATAATTATTAATAATAAAAATAATTATTGTAAATATGATTAATGATAATTATTAACAATAAATTATTATTAATATAATTTTTATTAATCTAACTATTTGAATTTGAATTAATTCCATTCATATGAGATTAGATCAGATTCATTTAAATGAGATCAGATGCATTTAGATAATATTTGATCCATTCAGATCAGATAAAATCAGACTCATTCAGATCAATTCAGATATCTCTTAAAAAGTTCAGTTTAGATCACATCAGCCGATGAGAAAGCAACCTAAATTCAAATAGTATAATACTATAATGTACACAAATATGAGGTATATGACTAAAACATTGTTATTTTCCCTAAATAGGACTATAAGTTTTTTTCCTTAAATAGGATCTAATTAATTATTAATTATTCAATAAGTAATATTAATGTACCAAAATGTCCCTCTTATGTTGTTTTGCTCTTCTGAGTTTTAAACACTAATTCATTACTCTATCTATTCGTCGCATCGCCGCCGCCACTGTCCCCCACCGCTGCCGCTAATGTCAGCCGTCATCGCCTATTATATCATCTCCAACAATATAATGGCCATGTTTGGGAATAGCTTTAGCGATTAACGTTAGCGTTTTGAAAAGACTATCTACGGGCAGCGTTTTCAAAGTAATCTGCACCGTTAAAATTTTATTCAAAACGCTAACGCTAATCTCCAACGCTATTCCCAAACGGGCCTAATGTCCTTTGCGAGGTGAACATTATCCACTAAGCTTAAAATGCTTTATCCACGAAAAAGATAGTAATGTCTATAGTATTTTAATTGTTCTCTATTCGTCCTTTGGATATACATTATTTACTACTCTTTTCGTCTCAATTTATATCGTCTGTTTCGATTTACTATATTTGAAAGGAATTATTTCAAATCATTTTATTTGAAAAATGGTATAAATTTAAAAAATTAAATATTAAAATACTATATCAAAAGATCTACAAAACTAGTGGTGATACGACTATTTTATTTTATCAAATAACTAACGGAAATAGAGAATGAAAGTGAATGAAGTTTGACCTTGTAAATAAAAAACATGCAATTCAAATTGGGACGGAAGGAATATATCACAATGTCCATAACGTCTTATTGTCTTTGCAGTAAAAATGAAAAAAAAAAACAATGATGAAAGAGAGTGAGATCTTTTATCTGGAGAGAATTGGATCTTTTACAATAAGCTAATAAGCTAATTAAGGGCTAAGGCGGCCGCCGGGATGGTGTGCATGAGAAAACAAAGCAAACAAAGTGAAAGAGATACTCCGTACATAGCGTTTGGTGTGGAATGATTTGGAGTATTTGCATGCGAAATTTGTCTTATTTTGATCAATTTTTTTTTATGTTTTTTAGTTTGTCCAAAGTATTATACTTCCTTACTCCCAAATTATTTGCCACATTTTGAAGAACGTGTAAAATATAATCTCGTTTATAACTATTTTATTTAGAAATTGATTGTGAAATAAAATGTAAAAATTATACCATTGAAAAGTACATCAAAACTTCTACAAGACTTGATTAATAAGAATCTTTTATTTTATTAAATAGTCAATTAAAACAAATAAATAAAAAAAGCTATCGAGATGCCAAAATAGTAACTGTGACAGTCTTTTTTGGGACGGGGGAGTACTTCTATGGTCCAGATAATTTTTATTTATTTTCATGTTTTTTTTGACAATTTGATAAAATAAAGTATTATTGTCACCGCTTATTTTGTAAAATGTAATCTTGATGTGGTTTTCTAATTATGTAAACTATACATTTTAATACCAAACTGTAAATAAATTAAATTTAAAAAACATAAAATTTTACACATTGTTAAATTTAATTTAGGAGAAAGCAAGTAAATGTAAATGTGGTTTGTTTTTTTGAGCAATGTTAGGCGTACACCAAATGTGTACCCCAAATGTACACCACCTCTTTCTCCACTACTCATTTTTATTTTATTTTTATTTATTTATTCTTTTTGAATTTCTTACCTTTTTTTGTGGACAAGGAGGGGTGCGAAACAAATGGGATACACATTTGGTGTATCCTTAGCATTTTTCGTTTTTTCTTCACTAAAACGAAAAACAATGATTAGACACATCACAAGACTGCGTGCGCAATCCGATCCGTTGAGCTGGCTATACAAGTTTTAAAATACTACGGAAGTACGGAGTACGGAGTACAACGTATTTCCACCGAGGATTATCAACTTTTAGTGTAAACTATTTATTCCCTTTCGAATTAGATTATAATGTTTTATTTATGGAATAAAATTCTATATTCTTTAAAATTTATTAAGAACAATCAATAAAATTTACTCCGTATATGTTAAAAAATTACGTCAAAAATTTCACAAAAGAAGTGTCATTTATAAGAAAATTTTATTTTATCAAATAACCAATTAAATAGACAAATATACAAAACATATATATCAACGATGAGTAATTCCAAAATATTATAATCTATTTAGAGGCATATTATATCATGGTGCGAATTAATATGTTAAAGTCACAAATATCTCCGTCACAAACTACACAAACTTATCATTTGTGTGCTTAAATTTTTAATTACTTAAAATATTTTATTCACTTGATGAAGTGTACAAATGGCAGTTTGTATAATTTAATAGGAAGAATCTTAATAATATTATTATTTTGTTTACATACTTTTGTATTACCATATTTCTCTTTCTATGGTATTTAGGATTCTGTACCCTGTATTATAAATACTCAGCTCCTTGAGAATTCATTATTCAATGTGATCAATATTTTTTCAAATTGTATCATGGTATTGTAGTTAAGGTCTTCATGACCCTAATCATTTTTTCGACCGTGGTTTACCGCCGTTTGGTTGACCATCGTTACACATGCCGTCGCCGTACGATCCTTTGGGTGCTTTACCTTCCGGTGTAAAACTTTCATGTTTCGTATCGTAGTCTCCATAACTTGGTTCCAAAAAAACTCACAGATACAAATTATCTGGCATGGTCTCTTAGGGGCTGTTTAGCAACTTCTGAATAGGTAAGTGCTGAATCAGTAAGAGGTCTGAATCATTAAGTGCTGAACCAGTAAGAAATCTGAACCATTAAGAGCTAGTATATTGCTTAACTATTCAGAGGCAAATGTCTAATCAATTCAGATACGAGGTCTTAACCATTCAGACTCTGTATAATACTTAACCATTCAGAGGCAAATGTCTGAACCATTCAGAACCATTCAGACATCTGCTCACGAAACAAACAGTCTGAACCATTAAGTGCTGAACCATTCAGACATCTGAACCATTAAGAGGCTGAAACAAACCGCCCCTTAATGTTCGGATAACTCTTTGTGCTAATCTTCTTCTTAGATGGATTGACGACTGTGACAAAAGCACCATGGAAATTAATTTCCAAATTAAAGATGGAAGAAATCTTCCCAACTCTGGGTATACTTCATGGTTCATTGTTGACACTCAGATCCGTACTCAGATCCGTGCTTGTCTCCTCACAGGCACAATTATCAGTCCAACAGTTCATAAACATGCTCCGGACTTCAATACTTCGAGTGCTCTCTGGAATGCTAGCTTTAGTCCAACCGTTCACTAATGCTATTTTATTTAATAGATAATCAAACTACTAAATTAATTTTTTAATCCACTAGGGCCTATACTAGAACTTTGGCTCTACCACGGGAAAGATAAGATATTTCTCTTGTCTAATCTTTCTTAAACTCTCTTCGAAAAATATCTACTCCCCCTCCATTTGCAAAAAAACTTTCTAGTTTGACTTGGAGTCAAAATAAGGAAGTGTTAAATTATAGTTGACTTCTAATTTTGCCCCTGATGTGATTGATAAAAGTAAGATGTGATGGATAAGAGAACAAGTATGATGTGATACGTAGGGTATGAAAAAATAAAGGTAAAAGTGGTTTTTTAATAGAAAGTGGAAGTGTTTTGTTGGAAGTGGAAAAAATGAAAGATGAAATGTTTTTGAGAACGGAGGGAGTAGTAGAAATATGTTGGGATTTTAAGCGCGTAAGATACCGAAAAATATTGAGAACACCAGAAAAATGAGAGAACAAACACAAGAAGAATATATGAGAGAAAAAATTATATTTCCACTACTTCAGGACAATATACAAAAAACTCTCCCCTATTTACAAGGCTAAATTTCAGACACTCGTAAACAGATCTTTCCACATCCTATGCCCGGATATATTTTTCCGAGTAACTAAAACCAGTTACTCCCTACACTCACCCACACTCACCAAGACCACTTGGATTTTCCCGGTGGTATTCTTGTGTAGAATTCCTCTCATGCTTCTCTCTCTACCTTGGTGGTGTGTAAAACCCACACACACATCTACCTTAGTCTCACTCCTTTTAAAGCAACTCAAAGCCCCTCAAAATCACTCGTACATGTGTAATGCCTAGAAGATGCTTGTTGATTTGCACTAATCCAAAGAGATAGAAACAAAAAACCAAAAAAANCTTGGATTTTCCCGGTGGTATTCTTGTGTAGAATTCCTCTCATGCTTCTCTCTCTACCTTGGTGGTGTGTAAAACCCACACACACATCTACCTTAGTCTCACTCCTTTTAAAGCAACTCAAAGCCCCTCAAAATCACTCGTACATGTGTAATGCCTAGAAGATGCTTGTTGATTTGCACTAATCCAAAGAGATAGAAACAAAAAACCAAAAAAACTCTTCACATGCATGTTGTACATCCAAATGCATGTTACTATCCTTTTTCCTTTTTTTTATTTCTTTTTCTCTCTTCTTGAATATTTAATCAATATTTCCCAACAAAATAAACTAAATGTGATGGGCACCCGACGGCGTAAACAAAGACTAAAATACAAAAAATTGCCACTACGTAGTTTGAAAGTAATTCTGATCTTGAACTTCTACTTCAACGAAACACAATTTTAAATGTTTACAAATTAGGTTTAGAATATAAATTTAGATTTCGGAAGTTCAAAATATGCTATACACTGCTTAGAAGTACTTTTCATCAAAGCTCGAAATAATTATATTTTACTTTTGATTTAACACTTCTATTTTTTTTAAAGTATTTACCTCGTTCACAAACCCCCCTCTTACCCCCCTCTTGAGTCTTGAGTCTTACGGAGTAATTAAGAAAGAATTGCGTTCAAAATAAGAACAATATAAACATTTGACATTTGTATGATTGTGTCCCTACACACTATACCATAGATATAAGGAGTCATTGGGTATAGCTTTGGAAATTGGTGTATTTTCTGCTTTAGCCTTTATATAGCTTGATGACCATTTCAAATAGTCCATTCTACACATCTCTTGAGGTCAGGAGTGACGTTTATTTCAATAAACACAAAAATTACAAATGAAAAATAAATAATTTCCAATGTGAGATCCCAATCATTCATTTGATAAGAGGCTCGTTTCGTCAGAATCACACATACAGATATTAACACTTTGTGTCTCACTCCCAGAATCTTCGATAATAATAATCATTTTAACAAAATCTATGGAAAAAGAACTTATGAAATTTCCTTTGGAATCATCTAACCACCTTGATCTTGAAAATCATCCAAGCTATATATGCTAGCAAATATCTAATCAAAAGATTTGTGATTGATTGAAAGTAATTATAATTAAGTTTACAACTAATTAGACCAAAATGAGAAAATAGAAAGAAACTTATTTATAAAATGCCCCACTCAAAAATTCGGGGACTGCATCATTTTGAAAAATCATTTGACCATGAAGGACTCAAAATAAACTGCCTCTTACACTAATTTTTTTTTAAAAACCATGACTTTTTTGTTACAGATAAATGTGCACCCGCGGAATTACATGCGACTAGTTAAAATTATTGTTAGAGTTTATCCCACATCGGAAGTTGAATAGAAAAAGTTATCGGTATATAAGGTCTTAAGTTGAACTAAGTATTCGATTGGATTCAATCTTTTAATGTGGTTCAACCCAAGTGTCTTATTACCCAATCTAGTTATCCCTACCCAATTCGTAATTCTATTATGTGATCAGAGCAGGTTTTGGCCCACCTCCTTTGTCAAGGTGTCCGTCTAGACGTTCATTCCTAGCGGCCCGTTTGTCTTTAGCCCAGTTGTCCGTATGGAGTGTGTACCCAACGGCCTGTGGCATGTTTAACACGTTTGCTCGTCTGGAAGTCCATATCCAGCGGCTCGTGGTCTTTAGGTGTTGGCGCTCAAAAAAAGTCAAGGGATTGGGAGTTCATTTGCAAGTGGTCAACCGGTTAGATTCAAAATGGTCCGGTTGTCCACTTGAGGGGGAGTGTTAGAGTTTATCCCACATCGAAAGTTGAATAGAAAAAGTTATCGGTATATAAGGTCTTGAGTTGAACTAAGTAATCGACTGGATTCTGGATTCAATCTTTTAATGTGGTTCAAACCAAGTGTCTTATTACCCAATCCAGTTGTCCATACCAATTCCAAATTTTATCAATTATCAAAACCCTTTTTTTAGATTAACTTATATAATTGAAAAAACATGCACGATCGAATGAAATTAATAAGCAATTGAAAAAGCATATCTATAGCATCAATAAATTAAATAATTATCCAAAAATAATAATATTCCATACATTTCTATAACATAAATAGTTGTGTTGTTCAAGATGACCTCTACTTACTAAGTAGCTCATGCTAATTGATGTCTTGTATGTATCGAGCATTCACAAGAACACAATTTTGTGCTTGCTTCTGATCAAACAAAGCTTCTCCATGATGTCCGTGTTTGACAAGTTAGTCTTTGTGATAAACCTCTGGTCGACCGATCATAGCGTGAGTGAGACACGCTAATTCCATTGGCGAATCGAGAATAACAAGTCACGGGGGCAGACCTTCTAAAAAATTGGGGAAACTCTTGTAAACTATCAATTTATTTTTAAATAATACTACCTCCGTCCCTGAATATTTGTCCAGTTTTAACTTTTTTTAGTCAATTATTTTCAACCTTTGACCTATAATTAAATAAAATATATATTATATTTTAATGAAATAAAATAATATTTTGAAAATATTTGATATAATAAATCTAAATAAACTCTTTTTGTATCAAAATCTAATATCATTTTTATTTAATTTGAGGTCAAAGTTTATCAATTTTGACAAAAAAAAATCAAAAGTGGACAAATACTTTGAGACAGAGGGAGTACTATACAACATAAAAAATTCATTGGGGGCGCGTGCCCCTAGTGAGATTGGCTGGATCCGCCAGTGGCTAGTTCATGCACATTTGTTTTGTAGAGCTTTAGATGTACTTTTTAAATATATAATTTTTATTTTATAATTTTACATCTATAATCAAATAAGATAGTGTTTGACAACTAGGATTTCATTTCAATTCATGTATTTCAATTTCAAAATTTAAAATCTTGAATTTCAAATGACAATGGGAGGCGCATGGATTTAAAATTAAGCTTTGTTATGAATGAGAAGAATTTGATTCAAATCCAAATTCAAAATTTGTAAGTTTCCCAAACATGGAATTTGAGCGAAATCCGGATTTGAAATTCAAATCCATGTTCCCAAACATACCATAAATGAAATTGAAAATAACTTAGGTAGTGTTTGGCAACTAGCATTTCATTTCAATTCATGTATTTCAATTCCAAAATTTGAAATCCTGAATTTCAAATGACAAGGGGAGGTGCATGGATTTCAAATTAAGCTTGGTTTTGAATGTAAAGAATTTGATTCAAATCCAAATTCAAAATGCTTAAGTTTCCCAAACATGGAATTTAAGCCAAATCCAGATTTAAAATCCAAATCCATGTTCCCAAACATACCNGTAGTGTTTGGCAACTAGCATTTCATTTCAATTCATGTATTTCAATTCCAAAATTTGAAATCCTGAATTTCAAATGACAAGGGGAGGTGCATGGATTTCAAATTAAGCTTGGTTTTGAATGTAAAGAATTTGATTCAAATCCAAATTCAAAATGCTTAAGTTTCCCAAACATGGAATTTAAGCCAAATCCAGATTTAAAATCCAAATCCATGTTCCCAAACATACCATTAAATCAAACATCGTAAACCAAAACGTGAAAAATGTTTTAGGACGGAGGTAGTAATCATTAGTCATACTCTCTCTATCTTAAAATATTCTTCACATTCCTGTTTAAAAAATTTAACTGAAACTATTTTTAATTCAATTTATTTGATTGTTAGTGTAAAATTAAGAATATATATATATATATAGAAGTTTACTCAAGTTCAAATTCTTACAGAGAGGAGATATTGACTCTTTGTATATCATTAAATTGAAAATAGTATAAACAGATATAAAATTATTGTAATAGAATGAATAAAATTGGAAAAGCAGGAAAAGAAAGAGAAACACAAAGAAGGTGATCACCGTCGTCCCGCTGAAGTAGGTATTCTCCTCTCGCCATGATAATAGACCAGAAAACACAAACGTACACGTGCCAGTGCAATCAGTTTTACCAAAGAATGAGCTGGAATCAGATTCCGTGTGTGGGTTTCGAGCTGTAACTGAAACCCAACTTAATATCTCCTCCCCTCCCCTCCACTTTCCCCCCACCCTATATATATGTGTGTGTATATATATACCTGTAATAATAATCTCACCTTCACTCCATTCACTCCACTTTCATTCTCCCTACCCCCTCTCTGCCATGGAGTTTGTTTTCTCCTCCATGTTTCTTGTTTCACTGGCTTTCCTCTTCCCCTTCTTCTTCTTCTTCTTCCGTTCCGTCCTGAACTTCTTCACTCTCCGCCCTGCCCGGCTCCCTCTCCCGCCGGGCACTCTGGGCTGGCCTTACATTGGCGAGACCTTCCATCTCTATTCCCAGAACCCCAATGTCTTCTTCGCCTCCAAGGTCAAGAAGTGAGTGCCAAATTAACGCTCTGGGATGATTTCGATTGGTTTGATTTATTAGTTTTCTGGGTATTTTTCTTTAACGAACTAAAAAGATTTGATTTTTTTTTTTCTTTTTGGAGGTATGGGTCTATATTCAAGAGCCACATATTGGGTTGCCGGTGCGTGATGATTTCGAGCCCGGAGGCGGTGAAGAGCGTGCTGGTAACAAAGGCCGACCTCTTCAAGCCCACATTTCCGGCCACCAAAGAGAGGATTTTGGGGAAACAGGCGCTGTTCTTTCACCAGGGAGATTACCATGCCCGGTTGAGGAGGCTTGTTCTCCGCGCCTTCATGCCGGAATCCATCAGGAACATCGTCCCCGACGTTGACTCCATGGCCGTGGAAACTCTCCGGTCATTGGAAGGCCGGGTCGTCAACACTTACCAAGAAATGAAAACAGTAAGCGTTTTTTATATTGCCATCTGTTCGATGAATTGCCACAGAGAGGATCTCCTCCTGACCTCCTCCTCTGTTTTCAGTTTAGATTCTGAATTGATTATGGTTTATATTTGTATGCGATCAGTACACCTTCAATGTGGCATTGCTTTCGATATTCGGCAAGGATGAAGGTCTGTACAGGGAGGACCTGAAGAGGTATTACTGCATTCTGGAGAAAAGCTACAACTCCTTTCCCATCAATCTCCCCGGAACACTCTTCCACAAGGCCATGAAAGCCAGGAAAGAGCTTGGGAAGATTCTGGCCAAAATCCTCTCAATTCGAAGGCAGAACGGCGAAATCCACAACGACTTGCTGGGATCATTCATGGGAGACAAGGAAAGCCTCTCCGACGATCAAATCACCGACAACATCATCGGAGTCATTTTCGCTGCGCGTGACACCACTTCGAGTGTTATAACCTGGGCCATCAAGTACCTTGCTGAAAACACCAGTGTTCTTCAAGCTGTCACAGTAAGATTTTTTATAAAAAAAATCTGATCTTTTTTTGTTTCTTAATTTGTTTCAATTGTTGTTATTGTGATTACTTAATATGATGTGGCTGTGGTGGGTTTTGTGCAGGAAGAGCAAGAAGGGATTTTGAGGTCAAAAGAGGAGAGTGGAGAAGATAAGGCTCTGAACTGGGCTGATTCCAAGAAGATGCCTGTTACTACCAGAGTGATTCAAGAAACACTCAGAGCTGCTTCAATCTTATCCTTCACTTTCAGAGAAGCAGTTGAAGATGTCGAGTTAGAAGGTCAGTTTTGACCCCTCCAAATGCTAGAGAATGTCCAAACTACCCCCCCTTTTGAAAGATTTTATTCTAGGCTTACATACCCAGTCATTAATCCATGGGAGTTTCATTTTTCTTCAGGTTATCTCATACCAAAAGGGTGGAAGGTGTTGCCCTTGTTCAGAAACATTCATCACAGCCCAGAAAATTTTCCAGATCCAGAGAAGTTTGATCCTTCAAGATTTGAGGTAATTAGATTAAACTTTTTTTTTTGAAACAGTTTTATTGTGAGTAGAACTCCATACTTGTTTAGGCTGGCCGGCAACAGTCACACGAATGCCATGAGCTAAGAAAACCAAAACCTGCTGCTGTGACATGACAGGTTTCTCCAAAGCCCAATACCTTCCTGCCATTTGGCAATGGGACCCACGCATGCCCTGGGAATGAACTAGCCAAGCTGGAGATTTTGGTCTTTCTGCACCATCTAACCACAAAGTACAGGTTGGTATATGATCAAAAGCCCCTTTTTTTCATTTCGGTGATCACCACTGCTAAAAATAGAAAGTCCCTAGGTTTTGTTTATCTCATGATGTTTTCCCCTTGTTCTGCTTAGGTGGTCTGTCATGGGCCCACAGAATGGAATACAGTATGGGCCCTTTGCCCTTCCCCAGAATGGTTTGCCCATCAGGCTCTATCCCAAGTGAAAAAACAAAGAAGGCAATGCTGGTTGAGATAACATTTGGCTCATCTCCATTTAAAATACAGCATTATAATAATGGGTTTTTCAAATCAAGTGGATGGTGAAGACAGTTGAAGAAGGGAGTGTGGTTATTCTTATTATATATACATACATATGTATGGAATCAGGTGAATAGTGATGGGGAATTACAGGGGAAATTAAACAAAGTGTACATAGAGATGAAACTTTCATGGTAGGTGGGGAATTGAAGAGAGGGAACCATTAATAAGAGATAATTGATAAACACAAATTCATTAGTTTCCTGACAAGATGAGAAAACCCATCTGTCATGGCATGGTGTAGCCTAGTAATTAGCAAAACAAAAAAAAAAGTTGTATTCTTTTGACTTTGTTTTCTCTCTTTTTTTTTTTTGTTTTGTTTTGGTTATTGTGTTATTACATGTATTGAAGTCCGCAAGGCAAGTCAATGAACAACGATTAATACTCATGTTATTGCAGATTAATCTTTGTTTCTCATATTATGGTCTAATTCTATGTGAAATCTCTATGAGACGTGCCTCACACTCTCATTCACATAGAATATAACGCATATAGAGAGTTGTGCACTATGTGATAGTTTATCTGATAATTCCAAGTGTCGAATGCAATGCTGTAACACTCAGGCAAACACACACGGAGCAAAAACAGTAAAACGACACAAACGGATCTATTTACGCAGTTCGGAGATGAATCTCTTACATCTGCGAAATCCACGTCCGTGTAACAGCCCTTCACTAGATGATGATAAGTTTTACACAGATCAAACACAATAGTACCTTCTAAGGTTTTGGCAAGGAAAAATCTCACGTAAGACCTCATGTATCAAACTCTGTTTGCACATGTCACCATGGCATGTTACACCCTCACTCGGTCTTCCAAGGACGTGAATTCAACCTTCTCTCCAGGGCATCACAATACTCAACTCCTGGACTCATGTATCAACATATGATCGTGAATCATACACCTGGGAAATAAGGATCTGAAATATGACTTCACGACACCACGTTCAACCTCACGCTAAGATGAAGAATGTTGAGTGATCTCTAATCATGTACCTCACTCTTTTCTGGATGTCTCGTATTTCATTCTATTTTTCTTCGTCCTTCACCGTAGCTCCTCTGTGGGATATTTATACATATATCTGCCTCTGAAGTTTGTAGCCCTTGTATACTGCACAGAGGAGTCTTGATGCTTTCTACCACGGGGAGTGTCCTAGATCCGTAAAATACGAAGCTCGAGATAAAGTCTAGCACCAACAAAATATTGAGCTCGCAATGACTTTCATAAACAAGAGATACCTGAGGCGTTCCAACTCTTCAGGATAAGACAATGTTTTAAGACTCCTTGTTACGACAGGATACTCTAAGGAAGAGTAGGATGACAGAATCAAATGCCACAACATAAACTGAGTCATCTAACTTATTCTATGTGGTTGTGTTTTGTCAAAAATAATGCCAACCCATAAAGAGGACAAAACAAAAATAAAACATAACGGAGCTAACACTATGTACATATAGGGATGATCAAAAGGACCGCACCGGTCGGATTGGACTAGTCTTTTAGGACCGCATCGGTCAAAAGGACCGCACCGAGATTTGTCCGGTCATTTTTTAAAATTGGACCGGACTAGTCTGATCTTTGTTAAAAAACAGATACCTTTTTGGACTGGGTAGCCCGACCAGGACGGTCCTAATCTGGTCAGGTCTCGATTTTATATGATTTTTAAAATGTTAATTTTAGTTTTTTAGAAAACCCAAAAGTATAGTTATTGTTCTTCCGTCCCTAAAAGATTATCACAATAATTCAAACTATGGCACCATTTGACTGCGAATTATGAAAAAAGTATATTTAGTTATAATGCAAATTTGATAAAATTAGGTGATGGATACCCCGGACAGGGGGTATCTGGTCTTTGTATAATATTAGTTGAGGCGGTCCAGTCTGTTGGACCGACCTATTAGTTGTATGTTAATTATTTATTTAAGGGCGGCCCAGTCTGTTGGGCTGGCCCATTATTCGTATATTTGTTATTTAGGGCGGCCCAGTCTATTGGGCCGGCCCATTAATCCGAAACCCTAACCCTAGCTCCTCTATTTATACTCCTCTTCTTGGAAGAGGAGGGGGGAGGTTGGAAAGAGGGAGGCTACACCACCAACACTATTCATCATCTCTTTCATCTCTATATATGTTCTCCTTCTTCCCTACCCTTGG